ACAAACCTTATACTATGATAAATTGACTCAATCTTGGGATTCCAATATTTATGTATAACTCGGAATTAAAAGAATTAATATTCAATTCAATTTTTAAGAAGATAAATAATGAATGTTTGCTAATAATAACATGTTTTCGGTTGGTACGAATTATCTACCTACCTACTCTAAACTAATTTTACAGAATAATTCGTCTTCCCTAAGCATAAACTATAAAAACATTCATTTACAAAAATGGTTTAAACACCATTGCATGATTACTATTCTTATTGTCACCAGAAGCCCTTAGCCGCCAATGTGACACCCCCACATTTTCCACGCATAAGTTGATCAGGCTTATACACAAAAAACGAGGGATATCAAAAACAATTGGCAATATACAAGCATGGAATACAAAATGATGATAATAAAAGAATTTAGACAGGAAAGGAATACTAAATAATACAACATCCATCCATCCTTTATTTAATACCGTACTTCATTACAACTTGGAAATCCTATGTCAAGGATCCCTAAATATAACCCTGAGAGTTCAACGTCAAAAGTAAATAAAAACTGAAACTGAAGTAATACATAAAACTTCTACCCTGAACTGGATCGTAAGAGTAGATGAGTTCGGATGGTGGTCCCACACTGCTAACCTCAACCTTGGAACGGGTACTGACCGTATCTTGAAATAACAACAATGGTGGGTCAACCCCACGAGCAAGTCCTCTCTACTATGACCCAAATCAGAGAATCAAATAAATTAATCATTATGAATCGGTTGAGTACTATATCTGTATACATCCTAAGGGAACTATCCCATGTATAACATGACCTCAACCAGAATAGACGGTGATCACTTAGACTCACACTAGGTGGTTAAGTGTCGCCTTTCCCCACCCGGGAAATCAGCTATTATACATGGTGCACGGTACTGACAACACAGACTATAACGAACTACACAGTGATAACACCTTGCAAAGTACTGATGAATATGCTAAGCATATAAATTAGGCAACACATGCCAACAACATTAATAAATATACCGAGTATGTCAATTAGGCAACACATGCCAATAATATTAAACCACATACCCCGACAGCCACACATCTGTCTATAGCAACGAATGCATAAGGTATAAATGAGTCTAAACTTATTAGCCAGCTCACATGGTTCTATATGGCAACTCATTCATATAATCTAAATGTGACATAATTAAACAGTCCATTTATTTCCTGAAATGCACACAGCATAATAATCATGGTTTGTATATCATTAACAACATAAATAATCCTGCAATGTATAACGGACAATTTATTTGAATTAAAACCATGTAATCATTTAATTTTAACATTAATGATTTAATACTGTTTAATAAAATAACAACACAATTAATGATTAACAATGTCATTAAATTAACTACATCCGTTTAATGGTGATCTGTATTGAAAACGATACAATTAATATTTAAAAATATTAATCGGAAATAATAATAACTAACGGTTAATAAAATAATAATTTAATGTCCCGTTAAACCCGTAAGTACCAACCATAGGCCCAAAAGTGCAAGTTTAAGGTTCTGGAAATTACAAAACAGGCCCTAGGGGTATTCTGGTAACTTCCAGCAGCTGTAGAGACCCCACACGCGCCCTCACGCGCCTCCCAGAGCCTCCCCATGCGCAGCCCAACCTTCCCCACTCTCCCACGCGCCTCCACGCGCGTCTGGCATCAGCCACGCGCGCGCACGCGCTCCCACGCGCTTCTGGAGCGTTCCACGCGCGCGCACGCGCTGCCACGCGCGCACTAATGGTACCTTGCTGACGCGGCGGCTCCTGATTCGGTGGTTGCATGGACTTGTTGTAGGTGCGCTACACTGGATAATTCTATCTTAGTTCTTCTAATCCAAGGGTCCTGGTTCGCGCGTGCACCATCTTATGGTGTATTGGACTACACCGAATCAATCTGCTGATTAGTTACTCATCTAACGGCTGGATATCCATGCGCACAGTAACTATAGTGCGCCGTATCACACCGGATTACTCCGGTCATCTCCCCCACTGCCGGCGACCGGAAAACTCGCCGGAAGGTCGCCGGAAAATGCAGAAAAGCCCCGGAAAATTCCTAAAAATTCTAAAAAAAATCCCAAAGGCCATAATAATTATTTTTAGCTATATTTTGATTACATAGGCCATAAAATAATTGTTGACCACCTTTAATAATTAAAATTCCTTTCTTTAATAAATAAAAAAAAAATTAATTTAATAATTTCCTAGCATGATCTCTAAGCTCTATAATTATTTAAATAATCTAAACAATTAATTTATGGATTCAAAGGGGAAAAGTAGATAATAACTTGCCTTTTTGGATTTAAAATAAATCCGCCAGTTGCGCGTAGTCGGGTAAATTCCCTACACCGGTCCAAGCTCCTTTCTTTCTCTCTCTTCCTTTCCACACTTTTACAATGGCTCTCTAGAATTTATACTTTGTTTCTAACTTCCCTTTTTTTTTTTTTTTTTTTCTTTTATTCTAAGGTAGGCTAGCTAATTTATATACAAATTTATATAATATAAATATTACAAATATCTAATTTTTACATTTACTAACCACCTTCCCAACCATATGGCTTCAATTCCACCCATAAACATTGATGCAATCCTATCCTAATCTCTAATTTCATCATGACATTGGTTTAATACTATTATTATTATTATAACTATTATTATTATTAATAAACTTTTATAATTATTATTATTATTATATTATTATTATTATTATTATATACAAATTAAATACTTTAATTAAATAATAATAATTAATCTAAAACATAACCAATAAAAATTTTAAAACTAATCATTATACTATATAGAACATAAATCAATATTACATACACAAATAAATAAAATTAATTAACCTAACACAAAATAAATTTAAATATACTCTTTAAAATTACGGGGTATTACAGCCAATCTCAAACAATAAGAATAGTTTGAATTTGATTTAGGAAGAATTAATTCTAGGACAAGAGATTAATTTATCAAAAACCAATTTTATTCCATTAAAACCCAATTACTTAGAAGATCTAAGTCAATTGTTCAGAATCATGCAATCAATCATACATACATACTGAAAAATTCCAAAGTTTAGAACAATCAAACCATAGTAATTGGATTCGGGTTACATCAATGCCCGAAGAGAGGATTTAACTACTCATGGAGATGGAGAATATCATCTTGGTTGGTGTGGAAAACATCTCCATGGACTACAACTCCTCTTCTATGGATCTTCTTCTTCAAATCTTTAGAGAGAACTCCAAAAACCCTAAAAACCGTTGCTAGATCTGAAATATTGCAAGAGAGTTTTTCTGTGGCCTTTCACCTCCTTTTATAGAAGCAAATGGCTTTTATCCTTTCTTGGATAGGCTTTAAGTCTTTTGGGGTCATTTGGACCCATTCGGAACTTAATAGGATTGATTTAAACTTAATCCCGCATTTAAGAAATCTGCCTGACAAGAAAATGCTTGAGCACAAAATTTTGTGCTCGAGTTTTTCAACCTGTGCTTGAGCCTTTTGGAAAATGCTCCAGCATTAATTCTTTACATAGCCAAATTTCCATCAACTATTTTCTACACATCTTTTTCTTCAACACTTAGAATATTTTTGACCTTCCTTGAAGTTGTGCTCGAGCACAAGATTCACAAAATCTTATGCTTGAGCTTTTTGAACTTGTACTCGAGTTTTTTGAGAAAAGCTTGAGCTTTTGCATCTTGGATTTTCGAAGCGTCTTTTTATTTTCCCAGGTGGATTTATGCTCGAGCTTTTTGAGAAAAGCACGAGCTCTGGTAATTGGAATTTTTGAAGCGTCTTTTCATCTTCCTAGGAGAGTTTGTGCTCGAGCCTTTTGAGAAATGCTCAGCTTTTTATTTTTTGCTCAAGCATAAAATTTAGGGCTCAAGCTTTTTTGCCTTAGGCACTTTTCTTGTTTCAGTCCACTTTGTGCTCGAGCACAAAGGGTTGTGTTCGAGCTCTGGCACTTGAACTTATCTAAAATCCCATGATTGACTCCGAACTAGCCTCAGATGGTCTGGTACAACTCCATAAGCTTGAGAAACAATATTTAATCTCTAGAATCACGATTTTGTCCTGTTCTTCGGGAAATCACCTACAAAAGACAAATATACTAAAATTAGTATAAAACTGGATAGAAGTATCATTTAAGGTCTCAACATATGCACGTTTATGGGTTCGAATATGCAATATTCAGCGCTTAACAAAGGCACGATTATCCTTTTGAGTTTATAAGTTAAGGGTAATTTTGTAAATTTGCATTGGTCAATGAGGTTAAAAATGTCATTTCAAGTATTGGAAGGTCAAAATTGATCTTCTACCAATTTGTTCATGCTGACGCCGTTAGTTGCTTAAAGGTAGGGGGTAATTTGTTGCATAAACCAAAACCTAAAGGTAGGTGGAATATTAAAACGTAGAGGGGGTGTAAGTGGAATATAAACAAACGTCAGGGGTTGTAGGTAGAATTAACCCTACAAAATAATAGGAGTTTTTTACACCAAAAAAAATTGTAGGGAGTTTTATGCGCCTTCTGTATATAGTAAGGATGTTTCTTGCGGTTATCCCATATATATATATATATATATGTATATATAAAACAGCTCTCTTTTTATTTAACTGAGAGTTTTAGAAATTGTCGAGCAAACAAATTTTGTACAATTTTTTAATGATATAAAATCAGAAAACTGAAACAAGCAAGTGCTGCCCAAATTTTTTTTTGTCATAATTCATAAAAAAAGAAAAAGAAAAAAGAAAGAGGTCAAGGACCTTTGACCCTTCTACCATGCAAATCCAAATTCTTATTATCAAATTTACCAAACCAAAAGGGTGCATGTAGTGTTATCAAAGTTGAGCTTGTTGATTTGGTTTTTGCTTGAATACATAGAAGCAGCAGCATTGGCAATATCATGATGGTATTATGGGAGACCCATCAGTATTGGCAGTTATTAATATTTAATCCCATAAGGAAGGTTCTTCAGGCCAATGTTCACTATCAACAGATTCATCTCCAACTAGCTGGCATGACAATGCGCTACAGAACTCATCAAATTGATAATTCAAGTCGATGAAGATATCATTCAAGTCGAAAAATGGATCATCCATAAAATGTAGAGGTGAAGTTGATGACTTAGTAGTGCAATGTGAAGAAGTTTCAATATAATCAAGGGAGATGAGAGCCATGATCAGCTCAGATTCGGCTTCATGGATTCTCGGCGTAGCGAGTTGGGTTGCTGCTTTGGCTGCAGCGGCTTGAATATCTTTGGGCAATTTGGATTCCGGACGGGGTAGTTCATGAGCCAGCTCCGGGAAGTTGAGATGAGCCGAGTGGCCTTTGATTGCTATGGTAGCCACATCGTGGGCTCGAGCTGCCATTTCAGGAGTGTCGAAAGTCCCAAGCCATATTCTTGACTTCTTCCTCGGCTCCCGGATTTCGGACACCCATTTGCCCCAACTCCGCATTCGTACACCTTGATAAACAAGGTGTTTTCTGTCGTCACCATTCTTAGCCTTCTTGTGATTGTTATTGTCATTGTCATTATCATTTTTCGCTCTTATAACTCTCTTGGAGCCATTTTGTCTCACCATTTTGGTAGTACTCTTTGTTGAAGAAGAGCATGAGGGGGACAGGGAGAAGGAGAAGGAGATGGTGGTGGGTGTGGCGACAATGATTGAGAACAAAGAGGAAGAGGGGGTGGTGGTGGTGGTGGTGGTAGAGGTGGAAGAGGTAGCTTGAAGCTCACATTTTCTAATGAAAGTTTCTTCCGTAGTGGACGACTTCTTTTGGAGGCTATAGGAGTTTAGGAACGTGAACTTCTTTATAATGCGTTCATCAACAAAATGGAATATAAGTGAATATATTTCTATGGGGCCTAAAGCGTAAAAGCGGTACACACTTGCTATTTTGTTGTCCATGTTAATTCCTTATACTATATGGTTTGGTCTGTTCCATCGACGGTTCATCTTTGGGCGTGATCTACGTGTTCTATTAAATAGTCCTACGATTTATTAGAATTTTTTTTTTTTAATTTTTATAATGTGTATAATTGATGGTCCTATATACGTCTTTTCTGCCTTATGATCCTCAGCCCAATTGAAAATGTGTACTCTCCACACAGGGTGGATTACTTCTCGGATGCAACAACTGTTGCGTTTGTGGCTCAAAATTCATGTGCAGAAAATTAGTTTCTTTTTTCGTTTTGAAAGGCTAAAATTTGTAGAGGAAATTGTATCCCATTATGTTTCAATTTTAGAATTGTGATCATCATGGAAACTCCTTATAGGTAAGTTGGGGAATATTTATCTAACAAAAAATTGGGTTTGAAGACTTTATAAATATAGATGGGTACAAGGAGTTTAGAGAGAGAGAGAGAAGAGAGAAGATGTAAGGGAATTAAGGGTGAGTGTTGTGAGGAGATGGGAGAGTATATGTAATTCTCGAGTGTATACATGTAGTCTAAAAAAAAATGATGAGTGAGTGAGTGGGGTTTTGACATGTGATTGTATATTCTTTTCCTTGATTCATAATAGTGAAATCTCTCTTTCCCATCGACGTAACCCTAGAGTTGGGTGAACTATGTAAAATATTGTGTTGTGCGTGAATATATATGATTGTTATCTCCATATATGCTTGTGTTGATGTGATGTGATGATGCTTCCGTTGTGTGTGATGAAGGAGGGATTTAACTCTCAACAACAACCGACTGTTGAGTGGATTGGAGGGAGTTAATTATCCCTAACAACTAGCATCAGAGCCGATAGTGGGTCAGAGCCTGTGATTAGTCCTGAAGATTAGTAGAAGAAAATTGGTGCGAAGTTTATCAGAGCAGAAGATGATCGTGAGGTGCTATGGAGATTTAATCAGAGTTGATGATGACACGAATGTATGAATAAGGTAATGGTGTGAAGCCCATGAGGAACAAGTCTTGGGACAAGCCGGATGATGCTCGTTTTTAAGATGGGGCAAATGTAATAGAGATGAAGCCTACGAAGAACAAGTTTTGGGGACAAACTAAGAGTGAGTGCTAGTTCTCAAGATGGGGCAAGGGGTGTAAAGAATGAATGAGTTTGCTCCAAGCCCGATAAAGAGCAAAAGGGAATATGAATAGTGAAGATGAGAAGTTTATTGTTTTGATCCAGAAAAACAATTGATGAAAATAAGTTGAATATTGGTGGGTTGCCATGTGTGAGCAATTGAACACCAATAGGATGTGATGAACGCTGAAAAGTGCACTTTTAAACCCCTTAAGCTTGAGTGTTCTAGGATCTTTATCTATCTTATTTTTCCATTTTAGTACTTATTTGTGTTTTTGTCTATTTCAGGTCAATATTGTTAAAATGGGCTAAAGATGGTTTCTTAAGGCCTTTTTGGGGTCAAACTAAATCTAAGTGACGATCCGGAGCAAAAAGAGGCTGATGCTGAAAATCTGCCAAGTTGGATCGATCCAACTTTTTCTAAGATCGATTGCTTTTTCTGAGATCGATTAAAGTTGGATCGATCGAACTTTTCTCTGATCGATCGAACTTTTTCTCTGATCGATCGAACTTTTGCTGGCAGCGAGCTGTCTTATTCCCGTGCGTGCCCAAAAGTCCACCTACCACATAGTACGGGATTAGATATTTTTGGAACTATATTCCTGACTTAATGACTAAGAAAAAGACCTTCTATATAAAGGGAAGTGATCCATTTGTAAATAAGCTTTTTATCTTTTTATTTTTTACATTGTATTTTTTATTTTTCTCTCTAGCAAAGTTAAAGATAAGGGTTAGAAGAAAAGAGGGAAGTGAAGGCACATCTTAAGATCCATCTCTAGACTACTCTCTCTCTCCATCTCTAGAGCTTCAAAGAAAAAGAAGAAGAAGAGGAAGAAGAAAAAGATGGAGCCATATTTGGAGTTTGATTCCATGACCACATCCACTTCATCCATAATTGGCTAGATCTATACTTAGGGCTTGGATGAGCCCTAAGTCTTGTGTAATCTAAACCCTTGTATTTCTATTTTTGGAGATTTATATATATTGTTGTGATTAGTGTTCTAGCCTTGTGAATTTAATGAATCTTGGTATATTTCTATGATCTCTATGGTTTAATTCTTCCTATTAATTCTCTAGTTTATTTACATGTCTATGTGTGATTAAATTGAGAATTATTTCTTACATGATTCATATGGATTAGTTCTTTCTATTGATTCTCTATTTAATTACATGTTGTCTTATGTGTGATTATTTGGGAATTGCTCTCTACACTAGTTTTTCTATTTTAATTGCATGTCTATGTGTGGTTGATTGAAAATCTAGTGATGGCTAAGCATGGGATTTTATTGAATGGGTTTGTCAATTAATTTGATGGTTTATACTTATGCTTGATGAGTTGTTCTACAATTTAATTCATGCTTGTAGGTAGGTAGACAATCTATGCTTGCTTAGATATTCCATGACTTATTATTGCAAATTTTATGATTCTTTAGATTGATGTGTGCTGCAATTGTTGCTACTTAGATGGGTCATGCTTAAAATTGATGGGTTGTGCTACACTTAGTTTAGGTAGACAATTCATACATAAATTAGATGGTCCATGTTTAATATTGCAATTGGTAGTCGCATTTTGTTCATAACAATGTATTCCCCATTAATGGAAAGCAAGTGGTTAATTACACGAGCTTAGTGGTGATTCCAATACCCTAAGACCTCTCTTCATATCTCTTAAATCCCTATATTTAATTAGTTTTATTTCGCTTTCATTTTAATTAATTGTTTTCTAGTTTAATCAACCAATCTCTATCTTTTGCAATCTTGTGATATGCTAGAGTTGAAGTTAAATTCCAACACGTATAATCCCTTGGGACGATCCCTACTCACTCTTACTACTTTAGTAATAGTGTTGGTAGTGGTTTTTATAAATTTAAACTTGACCCAAAAGGCTTTTCTTGAACCGCACATTCACAACATTATTTTGGCGTATATCAAGCGGCAATCGTCAAAATTTTGGCGCTGTTGCCGGGGATTAACAGTTTTGCTGGAATTAAACTAGACAATAGTATTCATTGGATTGCTTATATTTTTATTTTATTTTCCATTGTATATTCATTTCTCATTCTTGATATTATTTGTCAATTAGGTACTTGACTACAAAGAAGGCAAACTTTGGAACTTGAAGCAATCATTGGAGCTTAAAGTTAACATTAAAATTTGAAGTTGCTTAAGGACCGTTGTGAGCAATTCTTAGAACTCTTGTATTTTAATTGTTTCACTTCTTTGTATGCTTGTGATAGCTCTTGTTGAGGCTTATTCTATTGCTTTATTTTAAGTCCAAGCATAAGCCTTTGTGGAGGCTATTTTTTTTTTTTTTTTTTTTTTCTTTTTTGCATTTGAATTTTGATTATGAATGGAAGAATTGTTTGATCCAAGTTTAGGGGGAAATTATATTCCTTCACCTTATGCTCCTCCATTATATTTTAATTCTTATGAGATTAAGTCCAATTCATTTCATGCATCATCTTATTATGGACTTGATCATTCATTTAATCCTTCTTATGACTATTGCCCTCCACCACCATTTTATGATAAACCAATTCCACCACCTTCTAGGTACTCACCCGGATTTGAAGAAAAAGTGTTAGCTTTACTTGATGTGCATATTTCACAAACTTCACTTATTAATTCTCATTCTCAAACTTTAGCCAAGCTTGAAGCTCAAGTTGAGCAAATTGCAAGTATTCTTTCTCATCAAGAGGAGGAGGAAGAGGCAAATGAAAAAATGGCAAGAACTTCAATGTATATAGATGAGGATGATGAGAGTGAAGAGGAGGATGCGACAAGTGATCTAATGTCTAGCACTCTATCTTGTATAGAGGAGGAAGTGGCAAGTGAGTTAGTGGCCAATCCAATAGAGCATAACATGATTAATGAGGACTTTCCTTATTTTGATTATGATTCTATCTCGGATATTGCTACTTTAGAGAGTGAGGAAATGTTGACCACACTTGAGGTAGGAAATGAGGAGGAGGAACTTGTTGAAGAGGGCCTTCCTTTTATTGTCTCTAATGACCCTCTTGAGGGGTACCTTTTTGAAATGTATAAAAATTGTGGTTTTAACCTTAAAAGCTCTAAAAATGAAATAAACTTTTTAATGGACTCCTTAGCTAATTTGGAAGGTGAGGAGATGGTGATTTTTGAGGAGGAGAAAAAGGATGAAGAGAAGGTGTTTCTTGATATTCCAAATGAGTCTTTGAAAGACAATGCCTCACCAATTATCAAAGTGAGTGATCATTTGAATGTGTTTCAAGAACACAATAAAGAGGCAAGCCCAACCATTATTGATTTTGTTTTCAAGACCGTGGATGAAAGGAACAATATCATCTCTTTCATTTCTTTTCAAGTCATTCTTTTGGAGGATGATTTCATTGTCATAAGTGAGGCATTAAATGAGAAAATGGAAAAGAAGATCAATAAGGATGTTTCATATCCGATTTTTGATTATTTTGATTAGTGAGTTGACCCAACGTCTTGCTAGATACGTTAAATACTAGTATTCGTAAAGTTTCAAAACTCTATTCCTCCCTCATTTCTTTTTATTTTTATTTTTTGTTTTTGTGTACATTTTTCTATCCATTTTTCAATCTCTATTTTTGTTATCATTGGGGCTTAGCATAGGGTTTTTTGCACTTTCATATTGAAAATTGAGCATTTTGCATAAGTTCGATCGATCTCAAATGAGAGTTCGATCGATCGAACTTCATTCCTGTAACAAACCTACATCCAAATCACTCTCTGTCTCATCGATCCAAGAAAATCTTCAGATCTCAGTTCTCAGTTAGATCGATCAGAAGACCTTCGATCGATCCAAACATCAAGTTCGATCGATATATCTGTAGTTTCAACACTTAGAAAAATTTTGAGCCTGCATCAACCTGTATATTTCAGCTCTATGTCAGATCGATCGAAAACATTCCTAAATCGATTTAAAGTTCTTCGATTGATCCAACTTCATTATTGGATCGATCGAGATTCCATACTTACAAAAATTTTCAAAGCACTGCAAATTTCATACTTTCTATCCCATCGTGCGAGCATAGATCGATAATGGTGTGATCGATCCAAGTCAAGATCGATCACAGCTTCGTCTCTTTGAATTTTTGACTTTTTCTTCTTTCTATTTTTATTTTATTTTATTTTTCATCTTCTTTGACTTTTGTTATTCATTTTATTTTATTTACTCTCTTTTCTCTTATATAAAAAAAAAAGTTTTAAAATTTGTTAAAAATACAAAAATATTTTTGTTTATTTTATTTTATTTTCGAAAACTCCAAAAAGATTTTTATTTTATTTTATTTTCATTTTTACTTTCAAGATTTATTTTTGTTTCAAATTTTTTTTTTTTTTTTAAAAAAAAAAATCCCAAAAATATTTTTCATTTATTTTATTTCATTTTATCTTATTTCCAAAAAATCCAAAAATATTTTGTTTAACTTTAATTTTTAATTTTTTAATTTTTAATTTGAAAAAAAAAAGAACACGGTTTTTCAAAATAGCAATCCGTCTTGTTAGAGACGTTAAACTTAGCACCGACATGACACATTGTGTCTTTTATCTCTTGTATCATATATGTTCATATTCATTCTTATTTTTTTATTTTTCTTGTATTTTGTTTCATTGTATATACTTAAAAAAAAAAAAAAAAAAAAAAAAAAAAAAAAAAAAAAAAAAAGGAATAAGAAAATTTTGTATATACTTGCATTGTACATATTGTTTTTCATTTCTTTCATTGTACATATTCTTTCATTACATTTTGCCTTCTTTATTTTTCTTTTTGCATTTTGTTCATGCATTTTATACTTTTTTCTTCTCGAATTTTGTATATACTTGATTTCATAAAAATAAAAAAATAAAAAAAATTCACTATCGTGCCCTTATGTGTAGTCATGCTACTTTCATACTTTAGGTAGGGCTTGATTTCATATTTCTCTTTCATATTGTGTTATATTGCCTTAGAATGCATGATTTGATTATTCTTATCGCATTTGATATTTGATGTGAGTTTGTTAGTGTGGTTATTCAAATAGATTGTTGATTCCAAGTTTGGGGGAGACCCTTTTCATATTGGATCATTGCCGGGCTTCATGTCTTTTCCACCATGGTATACTCTTTCCATCTTTTCCATTGTTCTCATTGCACATTGAGGACAATGTGCGGTTTAAGTTTGGGGGTAAGGTGTCTTTGTTGCATTCTACTTAAGTTTGAGACTTAAATGCATGATTGAAATTTGAGATTGATGTTAGCGATGATTTTGATCTTTTGAGGATTATATTGCTTAGAATTTAAAAATTGTTTGACTTGAGAGTCTAATACTCCTTATATGCCTTGTGGATGCCATTTATGAGTAAATTTTTTGAAAGGTTGATATCTTGCTTGCATTTGTGGTCCACATCATCTTGATTTTGTGATTGTTTTGAGTTCATTCTAGGATTCTACACTAGCATAGGCGCACACTAGCATTCATTTGTGGGGTACATACTTTATTGATTATTAAATTGGTTATATCCCAATTGGGCTAGTAGTGCATTGAAAGCTTTCATTCTTAATAAAGGTAGATAACAACCCTTTTTCACTAAGTAGCCGGAATTCTAGCCTCATCAAGCACTGAATTTCTCGCGCCGAAAGGTGGAGGGCCCAAAATCTAGGTTAATAATTGAACTTGCTTACCAAAAAAAAAAAAAAAGAAGAAGTTGCAAAAGTAATAAAAGTGAGGACTTCTCCCAAAAGGTGAGAAGTGGGAAATGATTAGATGGAGGTTGTTTTGATTTGTAACTTAGTTGATTTGAGCTTGTAAGTCCGTAGGGGTGTTTGAACGCCTAATACCCTAAAGCTGTCTGATTGGGAGTCATTAACCTAACGCTCGACCTCATGAATTGCTAGAAAGCTTAATAGATCAACACATTACACCATACTTCTATCTTTGATCCTAAAAAAAAAAAAAAAAAAAAAAAAAAAAAATAATAATAATAATAATAATAATAATTCGAGTGAAAAGAATAAGCGCATTTAAAATAATAAAGCTTTAATAAAATGTCCACTTTTTGTCTTAATGATCGGTACTAGATTTGTGTACTAGTTTGAGGGTAAGGATGTGATTAATTTTTTAGTTGGCTAAGATAGCAACATATTTGATGCCGGTCCACTCAAAAAGGATTCTAGAGTTGTTTTGATTTGCATAATCATTTTCTTGATGTGTGGAGGACCATACTTGCTTGTTTGATGCTGAGATTTTGGGAGATTGCTTGGAAATGGTTGAAAAATTGCATACTTGAGGTAGTTTTCTCTCAATGTTTGTTTGCAATATTGGTGCCTCTTTTGTGAGAATGAGCTTAATATTTGTGGGTATCATTTCTGGAAACCCTCACGAGACTTCACTCGTCCACTAGGGGTAACCTAGGGGTTTAAAAGGCTTGTTGCATGTGCTAAGTGTAATCGTGTTCCTTACGAAAGTGATGCTATCATTTATTGCTCTCTAGTTCGTAGTTGTTTAGTTGTTCATTTAATTTCTTTACCTCGTAGTTCATTGCTAGGGACTAGCAATATTTAAGTTTGGGGGGTGTGATGAGCGCTGAAAAGTGCACTTTTAAACCCCTTAAGCTTGAGTGTTCTAGGACCTTTATCTATCTTATTTTCCCATTTTAGTACTTATTTGTGTTTTTGTTTATTTCAGGTCAATAATGTTAAAATGGGCTAAAAATGGTTTCTTAAGGCCTTTTTGGAGTCAAACTAAATCTTAGTGATGATTCAGAGCAAAAGGAGGTTGATTTGGAGTAAAAAGAGGCTGATGCTGAAAATCTGCCAAGTTGGATCGATCCAACTTTTTCTGAGATCGATCGCTTTTTCTGAGATCGATCAAAGTTGGATCGATCGAACTTTTCTATGATCGATCGAACTTTTTCTCTGATCGATCGAACTTTTGCTGGCAGCGAGCTGTCTTATTCCCGTGCACGCCTAAAAGTCCACCTACCACATAGTACGGGATTAGATATTTTTGGAACTATATTCCTGACTTAGTGACTAAGAAAATGACCTTCTATATAAAGGGAAGTGACCCATTTGTAGAAGCTTTTTATCTTTTTATTTTTTACATTGTATTTTTTATTTTTCTCTCTAGCAAAGTTAGAGATTAGGGTTAGAAGAAAAGAGGGAAGTGGAGGCACATCTCAAGATCCATCTCTAGACCACACACTCTCTCTCCATCTCTAGAGCTTCAAAGAAAAAGAAGAAGAAGAGGAAGAAGAAGAAGATGGAGCCATATTTGAAGCTTGATTCCATGACCACATCCACCTCCTCCATGATTGGCTAGATCTATACTTAGGGCTTGGATGAGCCCTAAGTCTTGTGTAATCTAAACCCTTGTATTTTTATTTTTGGATATTTATATATATTGTTGTGATTAGTGTTCTAACCTTGTGAATTTAATGAATCTTGGTATATTTCTATGATCTCTATGATTTAATTCTTCCTATTAATTCTCTAATTTATTTACATGTCTATGTGTGATTAAATTGGGAATTATTTCTTACATGATTCATATGGATTAGTTCTTTCTATTGATTCTCTATTTAATTACATGTTGTTTTATGTGTGATTATTTGGGAATTGATCTCTACACTAACTTTTCTATATTAATTGCATGTCTATGTGTGGTTGATTGAAAATCTAGTGATGGCTAAGCATGAGATTTCATTGAATGGGTTTGTCAATTAATTTGATGGTTTATACTTATGCTTGATGGGTTGTTCTACAATTTAATTCATGCTTGTAGGTAGGTAGACAATCTATGCTTACTTAGATATTCCATGGCTTATTATTACAAATTCCATGATTCTTTAGATTGATGTGTGCTACAATTGTTGCTACTTAGATGGGTCATGCTTAAAATTGATGGGTTGTGCTACACTTAGTTTAGGTAGACAATTCATACATAAATTAGATGGTCCATGCTTAATATTGCAATTGGTAATCGCTTTTTGTTCACAACAATGTATTCTCCATTAATAGAAAGCAAGTGGTTAATTACATGAGCTTAGTAGTGATTCCAACACCCTAAGATCTGTCTTCATATCTCTTAAATCCCTATATCTAAGTAGTTTTATTTAACTTTCATTTTAATTAATTGTTTTCTAGTTTAATCAACCAATCTCTATCTTTTGCAATCTTGTGATACGCTAGAGTTGAAGTTAAATTCCAACTACAATTAAACTACATAGGAAACTAATTTAGTCCCGATCTGTTTTGGCTTCTCTTTGTAGACAGGCTTTTGCCATAATGATCATGCACGAGATTGACTTGTTTTCCAAATACAATTTGACTTTCAAAAGTCTATAAATACATATTTTTTCACTTAGAGTTTTACGGCTTTTTGCATACAAAATTCTGGTTTATCTTGAGAGCCAACTTTTTGAGATTTTGGACTATTTTTTTATTAAGAGCATACACACGAATGATTTAGGGTGTTGTTCTTATTATGATTGGAGTACGGATTTGAAGACATCATTAGTTATCATTCAGAGAAAGCATAATTTCTTCATTCTACATCAAAATCTAATTTGAGGGGCGATCACTCTTTAAAATGGTCAAAGCATTCGTGGAGTGTTGTTGATCTACCAGCAATCCTTCTACAAGGATCAAGGAGTGAGCCTGAAGTTGAAGTTATTGGATGAGATGTCGCAAAGCCGGTGTCGTCTAGCGAGTTGAGTCTTGGTAAAGTGAAGGGGTGTGATACTGAGTCAAAGTGAGGTGTACTTTGCTTTAAATATAGCGGATCATTAACTCGGGACAATGCAAAAATTCTTGAGATTTTCCAATTGGTTTCCTCACTAAAATTCGGCGTCATTCTAAATTTTACTTGCATATTATTTTGCTATGTGATTGATCTTAGTTCGGTAATTTTAATTTGGGTAAAGTAGCATGTAATAATTATGTAAAAAGTTGACCTAATAATCTCATCTAGGTCATTTAGGGATTAATCACAATCAAATCATTTAACAGTTTTTGCACCGCATAACTCACAATTTGTGCCCCATTCGGTGCCTTAAATGGTGTCATTTGGTGTTGTTTCAGTGCCCAAGATGACCAACACCGGACATGCCGTAGAAACCCCAATAAGTGGGGATCTTCTTTGATTATCGGGTATCTACAACAAGAACATACCAGGCAAGGCAAAGAATTGCCAATCAGGATTTGAACTCTCAATCTTCATATACAAGGTGAGTCTTATTATGAGACTTCCTCCTTAGAATTATATTGATAGTGCTAATTATCTGTACACGCTTTTGATTTTGTCACATACAAATATACTCTAATAAAATTCTTGTAATAACTGTACTTGGGTTGTATTAGCATAAAAATGGTGCGTATTCCCTTTTTCCCATAAACAAAATGAATATTTTATGAATAGACCTGTGGTCTAGCGGTATAAGGCTCCTACTTTTCAAAAAGAGGTCCTCAGTAGAGGCAGTGTGTGTGAATCCTAACTAGAAAAAAATAATAATAATAATAATGAATACTCCTATATGTATATTAACTTTCATTCTCCATAGCCCTACATCATCTCATTCTAACCACTCTGTTCGGCTGATATGTGACCAAAAATTCAACATATGGAATGTGAAGAATTGTACAGGTTGGTATTTTAATTGTAAGATACTACTATATATTCCCTTCCCCACTATATTTTAATTTTTTCTAATTTGTTATTGTGTAGTATATACTATCATTGTTGGTGTTACTGTTTGATGTGTAGTGAACGAAGGGAATACTATATTGCATGTATGCTAAAACACATTTGTAATATTTGTTTCATACGGCCCTAAATAATCTCAATCAAACTACTCTCTTCCGCCGATATGACCTAACTTCATTCTTTTAGGGTTTAATCCAAATATGAAATGGATCCACCTTTGTTCTTTATCGTCCATCCAAAATGTGCTTAATTCCTAATGAATAATTGTATGGTTATTATTAATTAATCTTACAATTCTTTATAATTTTTTATTGTGTAACATACCATTATTTTTGGAGGCAGTATATATATATATATATATATATTTTTCGTTTTTGATGTGCGGTGAACAAAGGAGATGCTATATTGCCCGTTTGGTTGCTGCACAGCATCTCCACCTGCATCAGTCGAATTAAGCAAATAATTATTGCTTAGTTGGGTTCGTACGTGATACATTACTGATATGACTATCGTAATTTGTTTTCACCCTACATACTATCAAAGTCTATTAGTGATATTTCATTTACTTTTATTCAAAGTAAAAGGTGAAATTCAATATTTTAAAGTTGTTTTTTTTTTTTTTTTTTTTTCCCCCCTCAGTATCTGTAAACTTACACAAGTTAGTATAATCCAGGTGCATTTCTTACCAATTAATATATATATATATATATATATATATATATATATATATATATATATATATATTTACACATATACATATATCATCACCAATCTTATAGGGTACACTTGTAGTTGATTAGATCTTCCAATTAATATATGATACACTTGTCCTTTCAATTACAATAATGTGTGTGTATATATATATATATCATCACCAATCTTATAAGGTACATTTGTAGTGTACACTTCTTGTTGATTAGATCTTTCAATTAATATATGATACACTTGTAGTTGATTAGATCTTTCAATTACAGTAATATATATATATGTATATATATATATATATCATCTCCAATCTCGTTGGGCACATGTAGTTGATTAGATCTTTCATATATATTTTTCAAAAGGATGACAAACTAAAAGGACAAATGACACCTACTTTTAGGATTAGAACAGTTGACCAAAGTGTGTAATATTACAATAGCAAGATAAGCCTAATTCCAAGGTTGATTCCCTATCAATTAGTTGTCACATTAGTGCACAAACTAGATTTCAATAACAATGTACATTAACTGTTAGTGGTGCAAGCAATAATTGAGCACATTTATATCTTTCAAAAAAAATATAATTCAACACATTCTGGTTGTTGGATTAGAGAATACATAAATTAATCATTCAATACAGAGACATAAAGTTAACCGGCCATGTGCATGTTTTTTCCAATGAAACCATCCATCTTGCTTTATTTTATAATAGTTCTCATATAATTCACCTACTTTACAATTTTTTTAAAAAAGTTTCATTAAAAAATTCAAAAAATAGACACCCAATGGCATGGAGTTAAGCTGGTCCTTCAATTTTTTTCTGCATTAGATTCTTATGATAAGGATTGTTAATAATCTCACAAGTTGTCCTCATATCAAGATGATGATTTGACGAGGTGAGCATTTTGACTGATAGCAGCACGACCTTCAGAGACTTCTAGTTCTTGTATATAATTAGTCATATTGGGACATTGAACAAGTTTAGCGAACTTCAGTGAAGAGGAGTTTTTTTTCCTACCATTTTTTTTTTACCGACAATGATGATATCGTGCCTCTCTTAAAAGTGTGGCTCTAAAAAAATTTGAACTTCAGAACATAAGATGTGAATCTGTTCGATATTAATTTCTTCTAGCATTTATTCATACAATTTTTTTTATAAATGATAAGTACTATAAATGATAAATCTCAAAAGAATTTGATCATTTCTTTTTCACCATCTTTATGGTGCAGATGAGACAGGACACACATGTCCAATGTTTTGCTTTATAATAAATAAAAAATTGTCAACAACAGAGGACACAATAGTAGGTATCCAACAGTGGTGCCAAAGTAAAAGTATGACCCTATGAATCCAACCCATGCATGCAACCAATATATAGTTGAGCACGTTTAATTAGTATCCAAGAGTATATAACTTTCTTAAAAAATAATTAAATAATTGCATGTGACAAACATATATATCATATATGTATCTAAATTATTCATCAACTAACTTCTTTAAATATTTTAATACAGTAGTTTCGATTGATCATAGACTAATGACACTTGATCTACACTTTACAGCTGTGATAAGGGTCTACTTGATTAAGTCGGGAGAACAAAATCGATACTAACATAATCATGAGTCTGTACTGTCGACCTATATATATATATATATATATCACCAAGATCCCTACTCATTAAAACTGAATTAACTAACAGTTCTGAAGATGATACCCACGAGTCTTGTACGTCACCAAAACAGAAGCTACACTTTTAAAAATCAGCTTTTGGCTAGTTTCGTTTGTCTGTCTTGGATCCGGAATAAATCTTTGCGAGTCAAAACGAATTGTTGAAACTATATTAAAAACATGTATCTGTTCCGTTGTTTAAGCTTCCGACGGTCTCAATGGTCCATATAAATTTTAATAATCCATTTAGGATCACTCTTTAAATCAGTTCATTCATTCATGCGCTCAGCTTGAATCTACTTGGATTTGTGACAATTTTAGAAAATTGAGCTCCCGTTAAGGTTAAATAGTTTGCTGATGGGCCCGACTTGAGGACCATGAGGCCGTGAAACATACTATACAAGCCCCAAGACAAGCTTAATCTCGTTATGTTTGCTTAATGAACGAATGTAGATCGAGTTTTGAATGAGCTTAGCACACTACAACAAAACTAAGTACTTAAAATTTTGTAGCAAAATATATAATTTTCGTCGCAAAAGATCTTTTGTGACTGAAAAAAATCTTAACACATCATTATTTTTGGACGTTTATAATTGTATAATTTTACAAATATAAGTTTTTGTCCCAAGCTAGTAACCAAACATCCGTAACAAAATATTTACAACTTAAACTTCTATATGATAAAATCATCTAATCAATCATATGGTAGTTCTTAATACTTTTCTGTTTATGTCACCTGAGCTCTTATTCACTATTAGCATCGATCTTTAGGCAGTGCTCGTAATCGTGGAGTTGCTTTTGGAATTAATGGTAATTCCAAGGGCTCTGCGACTGAATCATTATTTGGAAGTATATATATATATATATATCTTAACATAAACATAAACTTCAAAAGTTTATTATAATTTGAATATATATATTATTTAACATGAGTTCGGATTTTTTACGGTATACCACGGGTGTTGAATTACATTAAACGATAAATGTTGTGTTACATTTGACGACTCACGATACACATAAATATGTGTTGTGAACCGTTCGATATAATACAATAAAAGTGTAAAATATGGATAAATTCATGTCGGTCAAGTCTACAAAAAGATGATTAAAAAATACTCCTGTGCCTCTATTTATTTGTTTAATTTTGGGGAAGATAGGACAATTTTATAAAATGGAAGGGGGTATTTTCAGGCGTCCAAAAATTGATTGAGCTAGGGCTGGACAGGCCCAAACCGGTCAAGGCTAAACAATGAAGGTTATACAAAAGAAAACATTACGAGGTATAGAATTAAGCCTAAACAAAAACAAAGCTAGGCCCAATCACACCACCCTCAATTCACGGTTTCATAGCAAATCAGCATTTTGTGTCTATCCTCTGTGACACTCCACAGTCCTCAAGCAAAATTTTGAAAGGAAAATGATAAGTACTACGAGAGTGATACATTCGAATTATTTTTATGTTTGTGGAAATATATTCCCTCCTTTGCATTTTAGTTTTAGATTTGATAATTCATTACTTTGTCATAGTTCTATGGTCACTATAAAGCAATTTTTGTATAAATTTAGGGTGAAGTGCAGAAAATACCCTTAGTGTATACTCCGCGTAATACTTTCACCCCTATGTAAAAAAGTGTGTTAATAATCCCTTTAATTTTTTGAAATTGTGCGGAAACACGCAGCCCTCAAACAAAAATATGACATAAAGTAATGTTGTAAGACCCGTTTTGTCTTTTTACTCTTTCAACCCAAGGAGTGGGTATATTAATAATCTCATACTATAAGGGTGTTATGTGCACATGTAACCCACTTTTAAGGATTTTTCTCACCTTTACTAAAAAAATAATAAAATATTTCTCTATATACTCTAATAGTGTATTATTTCTCTCTAAGCTTGAGAGTTATACATTTCATAAGTTCTAATATATGTATTTCTTTTACCGGTCAAATAGAGATAAAAAAAAATATATATATCTCAAAAAAATTATTTGTTCTCACAGTGGTTAGATCAGTGAAGAGTATATCACATGGAATGAAAACTTCAGTTCTTTATATAATTATAAAAAAAGAAAAAATTATTCTCAATTAAAATTTAATATAGTTATCATTTTTCATTAAATATATAATTAAAAAAATAAATTAAAGATACATATTCATTATATATAAAATATACATTTAAAATTCTAAACTTTACAATGTGCAATAAATTTTCACAAATATATATATATATAAAATTCTTTACCTAACAAAAAATAGGTGTTCGAATTCAAAACAGCAATTGTTTTTAGAATAAAGTGTAAAAAACATCCTATAGTATGCTTAAAGTGCTTATCACTCATTTTATGTGCTAAACAAAGTAATTTCGCTTTGTGCCCATTTTCTTCATTTCACAAAATATGTATTTTTAAATAATATATAAAATGAGTATATAAGAGCAATATACACAAACAATTGAAAAAAAAAAGGTGTAGTGTTATCAAACTTGAGATTTCTCCATTTGGTTTTTGCTTGAATACAAAGAAGCCTCAACATTGGCAATCAACATTAATCCCACAAGGAAGGTTGTTCAGGCCAATATTCACTATCAACAGACTCGGCTCCAACCAGCTGCCACGGCAACTCGCTACAGAACTCATCGAATTGACAATTAACGTTGATGAAGATATCATTCAAGTCCAAAAATGGATCATCCATAAAATGTAGAGGTGAAGTTGGTGACTCAATGGTGCAATGTGAAGAAGTTTCAATAGAATCCAGGGGGATGGGAGCCATGATCAGCTCAGATTCGTCTTCATGGATCCTCGGCGTAGCGAGTTGGGCTGCTGCTTTGGCTGCAGCGGCTTGAATATCTTTGGGCAATTTGGATTCCGGACGGGGTAGTTCATGAGCCAGCTCCGGGAAGTTGAGATGAGCCGAGTGGCCTTTGATTGCTATGGTAGCCACATCGTGGGCTCGAGCTGCCATTTCAGGTGTCTCGAAAGTCCCAAGCCATATTCTTGACTTCTTTCTCGGCTCTCGGATTTCGGACACCCATTTGCCCCAACTCCGCATACGTACACCGTGATAAACCGGTTGCTTTCCATCGTCACCATTCTTAGCCTTCTTCTTCTTGTCATTCTCGTTTTTCGGTTCTATTACTCTCTTGGAGCCCTTTTGTGCCACAACTTTGGCTGTACTTGAATGGGAGGAGAAGGAGATGGTGGTGGCTTTGGCGGCGGTGATTGAGAAGGAGGAGGTGGTGGTGGTGGTAGATGAGGAAGAGGTAGCTTGAAGCTCCCATTGTCTAATGGAAGCTCCTTCCATAGTACTACTACAAGACTTCTTTTGGGTAATAAAAATTTGGGCGGTTGAGTTCAGAAATATGAGTCTTATAGTACTTCAACACACCGACTTAAAGTCAATATATTTATTTGGGGTACACTTTGCCTATTTTGTTGTCCGTGTTAATTATTTATAATGTATGGTTTGGCAATTTTGTTGGATGGTCACTTCATCTTTGGGCGTGATCTTCATGTCCTATTAAATAGTGTTATACGATTGATTAGTATATTTTTCTTGTTTACCGTGTGCCTAGCTACTTTTTGTCAAGTCGGTATATTTATTTATTTATTTTATAGTGTTATAAATATAAAGACTGGTGGACCAACTATGTTGCTATTTGCCACAGTGCCACGCCATAAACAGAATGTTTCTATTGAGTTTTACACCATTGAATTCACAGAATGTTGTGGACCTATTATGTCGTTTCAATCGATAGTGTAAGCAATAGGGGTGTTAAAAATGATCTGTTATAAAATTTTAAGTTGTTAGAGATCCTTGAACACGCCCCCAATAAATAAAGGATACAAATAAGAACATAGTTACAAAACGATATGACAGGGGTGTGTTGATATATAGTTGCAACATATATCGTGTTGATAACTATTTATGTTAAAAGTTTAAGTTGTTAGGGATTATAGATGACAACGGGTTGGTTTGGGGTGGGAAATGTCATCTCCATCTCCATTTCGGTATTTCCATCCCGATTTAGCATAGTTATTCTCGTCTCAGTCTAAAATCGTTTATTAAACAAGGTGTGGTGGAGCGGGGACAAGTTTTATAGAGCATTTTTGTAATTATATTACGAACCTAACATAAATAATTAAGGAAACAATTTTTCAATATGGTAATTTTTTTTTTTACCTTATGCGGATAAAAATAAGATTTAACTTCTCAATTGAAACTTAGAGACAATATTATTGTAGAAATATCAAAATAATACATAAAAGTTCTCAAATAAGAATAATATAAAATGATATTTTGTGATTAGAATAGAATATATTAGGATTTGCTTAATATATACCTTATATTATTTAACATAAAACAAAGTAAGAGGACAAAATTGTAATTTATTACTATAAATGGAGTGGGGCGGAGCGACCTTTCCTGTCCTCGCCTCTGCCCCATAATCATACGGGTTTTCAATCCTAACCCCGTTCCCATCCAAAATCATTTAACTACCCTCATAACTGTTCTAAATAGAGCAAGGTGGCGCGAGTACATGACGGAGTAGGGTATTTTGCCATTCTTATTAAAGATCCTTCAACATGTCCCTTCATGTATGGCATTTTTTTTTTGGGTCTAACAAGTGTTTCAACTTTAATTGTATTTTAATCTATCATGTGTTTAAATTTTAGTTATAAAGGTGATAATAAGGTTCAAACTTAAGACCTGCCTGCTCGGAGATTATGTTAACCACTATCTATTTCAAAATCTTAAGTTAATAAAGAGGCTATTCATGTAAAATATATTGTTAATAGCATTTTTATTTATTAAAAAAATTATGATAAACAAGATATATTGCATGGACAAATTTTGGTCTATATTAGTCTCAATACTTCATTTTAAGAAATGTTAAATGTTTGTCCTTCGAGTATCCCAAATGTATTGGATATGTAGCCAAAATGTCTAAGATATATTAGATACATGTCAAAATAATATTTTTTATTTAAAGTTATGAATACATTTACAAAGTATTTTTGAATATTCAAGGAGTGCTGATATTCAATGAGGACAAGATACAGTACCTCTTCCATGCCTCAAAGTGCACTTGATAATAAAAAAATAAAAATAAAAATCAACTAAACAGACTTACGATCCTGTAGTAGAATATCCGATAAAAGGATGGTGGGTGGTTGAATTCGTCAAATATTTGGCACCTTGAAAATAAAACCTAAAAATAAAATTTATTGAAATATTATATGCATAAGATTAATCTTGGAAGATCTGTAAGTATATATGGTCAAAATAGCCTCTTAAAAAAAATTAGAATTTGACTGAAGAAGGGCATGCAAATATTTAGAAGGATTTTAAAAAAAACAAATATTTTCAGGGGGTATTTTAAAAATTATATACATTCAAAATCTAATGAGCAACCTTAGTCCGGGGAACGTGTCCCTTAGGCATGAACTGACTCCGTTCATTGAAATATTAGCACTTCACGAGCATATATACACAAAAGTATATATCTATGTAATCATTAGTCTTCCCTTTTCATGAGGGCAATTTAAAAATTGAATGCTTGTTTCATGACAATATTGAAGGAAAAAAAAGAGGGGTATCAGTTCTTTGGCTTTTTAGGCCTGTTTATAATATATATATTCATTTACTCAAAAAAAAAAAAAAAAAAAAAAAAAAAAAAGTTACTATCAGATTTCCGGGGATCGTGTCTGAGATAACTTCAAAGAATAAGCACCACAAAAATGACCAATTGCTGGAATTGTTTAAATTTGAATATTCCTTTGTGATAATATATATAAAATGTTATTAATTAATATTAGATTGTGAATTAAGGGAGTCGGAAAGTATAAGCGTGTGGGTGTGGGAGTCCTTGCAAGCTTAATAATTAGACGTGGGGAACATTAGTTCATCAAGGAGCTAATTATTTTGCAAACGATTATGGAACTTTTGTCCCATCCAGCTAAATTATGGGACTATATATTTTCCAAAAAAAAAAAAGGTTCTTAGAGACTTCTCTGTAGATGAAGGTTGGTGATATGCAAAAGCATGGAGGTAAAATCCAAGAAACCAAGAGGTCATCCCATCCGCACAAAGTTACAACCGATATTTTATATATATATATATATATCACAAACAATGTGCCTAACATAATATTGACTGTGTTATTTATTTATTCATGGGACAGTATCAGCTTCTTTAAGCACTTCATAATATATCATTGAGTACTTATAATAAAAAATTTAATACCGAATATATGCAGTACTCTCATCTATACGCATTGAATTAAACAAAACAAAAAAAAATTTCATTCTTATTGAACTCTCAATCTTCAGATATGATCATATGAGATAAGAGCATTGTCATAAGACTATCTCTTTAGAGTTGTATTGATCGTGCTTATTTATGCACACCATTGATTTACATGAAACCTCAAATTGTGATAAATCACTCTATGCTTTCAAAAATTTACAAAATACCCCCTCTATTATTTTTAGTGACAACAAACACTCTCAATTTACTAAAACTTGCACATTACCTCCCTCATGCATATGAAAATTGAAATTCTTGATGTTAATACTAGTCGGGTGCAACACAAGCGACATATGGGTTGATTGTTTTTTTACGAAAATACTCTTACGTATGCAACAAACACCTTCTAACTTCTTATTTGTAAAATCAATTGTGAAGGGTAAAATAAGCATGTGCAAGAGTGTTTTTATCAAAATAATCATCTCATATGTCACCTGCATGCATCTGACCACTTTTAACCCTAAAAATTTCAATTTTCGTATGTCAGTGGAGGGTAATTTGTAACTATTCATAAGTTGAGAAATTTTGTTGCCACAAAACCGTGAAAGAAAGTACTTTGCAACCTTTTAATAGCACAGGAAGCTTTGTGCAATTTGCCTACATAAAAATATACCCTAATAAAATTCTTGTAATAACTACACTTGGGGCGTATTAGCATAAAATGGTGCCTATTCAATATTTCCGAAAACGTTAGTATATAACGAAAACTTCTTTGCCTTGTAGCCAAGGTGGTGGGGGAGCCTCATGGTTTGGTGTTAGGGTCGAGTTTGAGCCATCCTCCATTTTTTCCTCTAATCACTAACTTCTAACCCTACTAACCATTGTCAGGACAAAAAAAAAATAATAATAATAATAAAATAATAATAATAATAAATAAATAAATAAATTCTTTATTCAAGTGTTTCTTTATAACTTCTTCACACTCTACTGTAATGGTCATGGTCAATGGTCATGGTCAGTGTCCTAATAAACATCAACTTTCATTCCCCATAGCCCTACACGATCTCATGCATGATCTGATTCTAACCACTCTATTCGGCTGTTATATAAAGAAAATTCATTGTTTTAGGGTTTGATCAACATATGGAATGTGAATGCTAATCTTTATTTTTATTAATATATATATATATTTAAGATAATAATATTATATTAGAAGGTAGAAGTGTCAAACCTCAAAGCAGGACTCTTAAGAACAACGGGGAGTAACTCAATCATTGGACTACGAAAGCTCCCTAAATATAATTGATTTGTAATGAAGACAAGCATAATTACTATTTTAATTTTAAGATGCTACTATATATATATACTCCCTTCCCCACTATCTTTAAATGTATTTCTAATTTATTGCATAATTAGTTGGTTGGGGTCGTATGGAATGTATTATTGTCATTCATATGGTAATTTATTATGATTAAATTAAAATTTACTTAACAAACTACTAAAGTCTGTGAGGTAGTAGTGGTAACTCATATTATTTTAGTATTTCTAAACTTACCACCAAGTATTAACTTGTGTAGTATATAATCTATTGGCATTTTTTCCAATCTCGAATCTTATATTAATTGAAAGATTAATCAACTACATGTGTACCTTATAAGATTCGGGATGATGTATATATTATTAATTAAAAATTAAAGATCTAATCAACTACATGTGCAGCTTATAAGATTGGTGATGATGTATATATTATTAATTGGAAAGAAATGCACACCGATTATATACTACACAAATTAATACTTGGTGTGTGTGTGTATATATATATATATCATCCACAATCTTATTGGGCACATGTAATTAATTGATTAGATCGTTCATTTGTACAATTTTGAAAAGGGTGACAAACAAGGGGGACAAATGTCACCTACTTTTAGGATTAGGATTATAATAGTTGATTGAAGTAATATTAAGTACGAACATTCATTTTAGAGGGGAGATTTAAGGTTTATTCAAATCTTTATGTAAGTTTTTTATCCTTAAGTTGAATGAATCATTAT